GTTCCCTAGAAGGAATAAGGCAATCAATGCTTTCATTCTATGGTTTATCTACTTAGGTCTTTCCCTATGTACATAAAATGTAGCATCCATCTACTAAAATTTGTATTACATTTAAAACTTTTAAATATGTATAATTTAAGATTTATACTATATATGTATATATTACTATGGTATATGTAATAAAAAGTATAGTATACAATCTAGTTTGTTTCTTTTACTGGGCACTAAAAAATGTCAGTCAAGCTTTTTAAAGGCTGTGGGTAAATTATAATGATAATTTCTTGTTAATTAGAAAACCAAAGTACAAGGCTGAAAGTATACAATATTGTCCATATCGCATGTCTTTAGATATACGTGGAATGTCCAAGATATGTAGAATATTTCATTATTCCATTAAAGGCTATTGAAATTCCCCTCCCCCAAACTTTTCACTTCTAAAATGCAGTGGACAGTTTTAGCATAAATATGAACAAAGTAAAACAGGCAGAACTGCTGATCAAGTAAAAGAACATTTTGGTAGAAAGTGTCTTCTTAAAAGTTTCTCAGCTTTGTTCAACTTTCTCAACCTTTTTCTGAATTTCTTGGAACAGGAGGTATATTTATTCTCAACTTATTATTAGTTCAATATTGATACCTCATTGCTTCAATTTTATCTCCCTGAGTACTTTTGGTTAAGTATATTTTTCATAATTTATTAGGCATTTGGATTTATTCTGTGAATCTGCTTTATGTAATCATTTTTTGCTCATTTTTTTATCCTGTGGAATTGTTTTTCTTTCTCTTATTTATCTGAAGGAGCTCTTTGCACACTGCAGCTATTAACAATCATGCACGGAAAACAGGCTTCCTCAAGGATTTCTAGAAAGTACTGTATATTATGAAATTCTTTCTCTTTCCTCTTTCCATATGGCCCATTTCTTTTGCTGTCCTCCTTTCTGGTTGCCCTTTTGCTTAGTCTCTTTGCTTCCTTATTTGTATCAGCACTAAACTAGAAGAGAGGAAGAGATGTGCAAGTAGATATTTCAGCAGGGCTATGTCAACTTAAGTTGAGTTTAGAGTTAAATTTTGAGTTACGAAGATGAGTGCTCCTCCTCTAAAGTGTGTAGAAGATTGAAGAAATGTCCTGTCACTTCCAGTTTTTCATGATGTGCCTCTTCAATCAGAAACATGAATAATACCTAATTATTTCCAGTGAAAACATTGAACTCACTCAAATACTAGCTAATGAAATGTTAAAAAGTGTGATTACTCATTTGTATGTTCCAGTGTTCAAACATCTCAGTAACTGTTCAATTTGTTTTAGTCCAGTTGTTTTACAAACTTTATGCATGGATTTTTAATGACTTGAGATGAAAATAATAGTATGTGTGGACAACTGAAAAATTGAATGAATGGCTACAGAGCAAGAAGTTTAAGTTAATACTAATGTGTATTCAAAATTAATGTGCATTATTAGATATATGCTAGTCAAATATATGTTCAGTTTCCAAATATTTAAAATATTTATGTGACATTCTAAGCTGTAATATTTCTTTTAAGCAGATGCCATGCTAATGTATTTTCTCATAGCATAAAAACAAAAAAAAATGTAAAGGATAATACTTATTCATGTGAAAATGCCTGCAGGCCAAAGATATACTAAAGAACATCATCTTAGAAAGAAACAAGTAGTCTGGAAATATATTTTTGGAAGGCTTTTGAGTTGCCAATCCTTGCAGATGTGTAGAAGAAGGAGAATAAAACGCTACATATTTTTTAAAATCAAATTCTTATATCAGTCTCCCCAAATAAAAAATTACCCTCATCTTTTCACTCTTAATATGTTTGTTATGTGTGCTCTACCTACTCATTCATGTCTTTCCCTAATGCTTCATTTTGTTAAAATTAAATTAATATTCTTAGTGCAGAGCTAACTTTAATAATAGTGGACTACATTTTTTTATGGTTGGCTGTCTTCATTGATGACCACTGGAAATTCTGCTGGAAGTAATCTTTGAGACCAAGAAATTTAAAAATTATCTTTCTTCTTTATAATAATTAGGGAAAATTTCTAGAAGGTTGTGTACTTAAATGTTTTTCTCACAGATTACATTGTTGAGACAAAACAAAGGGTACCATTGTTTCTCTAAAGAATAGGTGATTTTCTACTTTAAAACATTAAAAATATTTATTTCTGCATATACTTCTATGTATTTATCATTAGTCTTCTTTGTTTTGTTTGCTCTTAACTATTCTCCAGAGAAGTATTTTGATATCTGTATACTGAGTTCTAAGATTAGGTGTGGTAGGTTTCATCTTGTTAATCTTTCATTTTATAACTTTACTGATTCTTATGCTTGGTCAGTTGTAATCAAGAACCCAGAGCATCAATCTTACTATGCAAAAGGAAAGTATCGGATAGACAAGACAATCTGCATTTACACACATGAAAAAAATTTGCCCACCAAAGTCATCAAAGTTTATGAATTAAGGAAACATGGAACATGTTATGATTATGTATAAATTAAAATCCATAGATTTTTTACCTTAAATCTGCAAGGAGATTTGTATTGTTTCTGGTTTATATTAATCTAAGAAAATAGCAGGCACATTGAAACAATAGCTTGCATAATTATGGGCATATTTACCTTTTCATATATAATGGGCAACTTATAATCTGTTGGAAATTTAAGGAAGTAGCCTTAGTTATATTTAGTCATGATAAACACCTGTTTTCCTTTCTAACTCATTTATATATGGGTCATATGTCTGTTTTCTGGGATAGGCTTAGAAGGAAAAAAACTAAGACTTGGGATTCAGTCTGTTTCCTTAATAAAAACATAAGTATTATTGGTCATAGGAATTTTTAGTGGGCCTTGATTTACTCTTAAAATCATTATACTTTATTGATACAAGTCACTAATTGTTAGCATTCAAAAATAGAAAAGAGTAACATCTCTGTGTTACATTATAGTGAGCCGTCCTCAAAATTTTAATATTTAGTTCCCTTAAAGAATAAATGTTTAGAAATAGCAAGAGAAAGTAGAGGTGATCATTTTACAGTGCTTTGTGGGGGGAAATCCTAACTGTAATATACCTAGTGAACTCCACATTTGCTTATCAGGGAAACCAATGATTCTCATTCAAACAATGAAAGATTATGGTGTGTACGTTTTTGTGAAAAGTTAGTTTCACTCGAAACAAATTTCTGCTCTGACATAGGGTAGAACCAGATGTCAGATGTCTTGGGTGCTGCCAAGTTAAACCTGGCTAGTTTGTAGTGGCTGATTTAAAATTTGATGCAGACATTAACTGTAGATATATCTGAGCTTCAGAGTAGAACAGGGAGGATGCTAGGTTGGATGCATGTGTAAAAATCAGAACCTAAGCACATGCTCTAGATATTCTCAATCTGAGTGTGTCCAGATAAGATTTTAACTATAAACATAATTATGTCTACCCTAAAAGTAGAGACAAACCACTAGAGAAGAAAAGATCAGAGAGGACCCATATAGATAGCTACTTCTTGAAGAAAAGAAGAGTCTTCAAGATATGTCAGTCCTATTACTAAAGATTGATTAAATAGCTGAGGTTTTCCTTTTCTATTCTTGCAGAAAATGAAAATACCCAGTCTTTTTTCTACTTCAGACTAGCCATTCATGTCCTTTATGACAGTTAGGTTTCCTCTGAGCTTTTTCTTTTCCAGGACAAATTATCCTAACGTCTTAGGTCTATCCTCAGAGGTCCTATCTTTCAACCATTAAATCATCTGATTGCTCTTTCCTGTGTCTTTTCAAGTTTCTTTAAAATCTCTTTAAAATATAAAACCTTAAATGTGATGTCTGCACACATCAGATAGGTTAGAGCTTGAGGAGTATATTAATTTCTACCCTCCAAGTCACAGTAACGGTCATTATAACAGGTCAGTTGGACAAGAAATACAAGAGAAACCAGGTGAGCATGTAATATTGTAACTCAATGAACTATATGATCAGAAAGAATAAAATATATACATAAAAATGTCAGAAGGGTTCATAATAAATCTTTTGGGAAGACACCAAAACACAACATTTACTATAAAAATAGCCAGAGCTATTTTTATTTTACTTTAAAATAATCTGATGCTTCTTTTACTAATTACCCTGCTGTGAGGAATAAAACTAGTGGGTGAGTTACCATCATCCCAGATCCAGAAAGAAAAAAGAAAGTGCCTGCCTCAAGAAAGGGCCGAAGTAGAGCCAGAGATCTCAACTTAATTAAGAGCCAGAACTATTTTTTAAAGCAGTATTATGTTAAGGGGGGAGCATTTGTGTGCCATTGTCTTGCTGTTTTTTTTTTTTTAATGGAACATAGCCATGACTGGCCTAGATTCATTGTACTACAGTGTCTTTTCTGCAACTTTACATTGACTTTGGGTGATCAGGATCCTGTTTTCATCTCTGCACTCCATGGGGGACAAAAAGAATCCATAACCTCACGTGCAAATCAACTCTTCAACTGTATGAATTTCTGTGAGGACAAAGCTCTACTATAACAAAAACCCAAAAAAATCCTTAAACTTCTTTGTCTCTCTTGCATAAACTTAAAACATTGATAATTAGATGTGTTTCTCTGCCCAATTTGACATACCTGTCATTTACCCTACTCTCTATCCTGGGATACAGTATGCACTACAGAACTCTGCAAGCTGCTTCTTTGGCTCCGTATGAGATAAACAAGTCACTACTGCAAGATGGCACTGTATTCTTTCCAAAATCCTCTTTATAAATCAACAAGAGTTAATAGGGATCACCACAAAGGCAGCTTGCAAGAACTTTAATTCCCCAGATGGAAGGCTACCATTTTCACCTATTGCTGGTTTATTTTCATTTTAAGGCTTTAGAAAAAAAATAAATCAGCTATGTCCATATTGAAAAACCACAGGTTGATTATAGAGGGCTCTTGCACTAAATGGTGTGCAGGAGTGAAATATTTTTATTTTATGCTAACCCCTCTCAAAAGCTAATGCAGTATGGTCTTACCATTCTTGCAGACAGGACAACATTGCTCTGGTTCATAGACTGGGTTGACACACTCAGGAACTGCGCAGTCTGCTACAACACAGTGAACTTCATTGCTGGGCTCACAGCGACACCATTCACATGGAGAGGGCTAGGAACAAATCTAAAATTAGCCCCTTTTCTCCTATAACTTAATGCTTGCACATTCATATGCTGTCAGAAGACAAAACATCAGTGTTTCTATTGGTTTTACTGAATTAACTTCATTTATCACGTGTACCATCATTCTCCCCAGCAGAAGACAATCTAGACATCTAAGCCAATGTTGTTTGTAATACACAGCCCACATTGCTGCAAACAACCACAGGAGGACCCACAAATGACATTTCCTACAACCCTATCTTTTCTTTCTTTCTTTCTTTCTTTCTTTCTTTCTTTCTTTCTTTCTTTCTTTCTTTCTTTCTTTTTTGCTGGCTCAGCCTACCCTGAGGGTGGGGCTGGCACCTTATATAGTTCTGGGAATCTAACTGCGGTCCTCTGAGCCTACCTAAGCTTGCCTAAGCAGGTGCTCTAGACCACTGAGCTATCTAGCCAGCCCAACCCTATCTTTTCAGAGAAATGTTTGGACTACTAATGTTCCAGCCATATCATGGTTTGGTTTCCAGATGCACTGATTGCTTTGCCTTTCTCTTGTAAACAAGGATGATCCTGGAACATAGGAAATATATATACATTTTCCATTTATCATTTTGTCTTCTAGAGAAAGAGGCAGATTTCTTAGAAATGAGAAAATGGTAAGCGCATGAGTTTACCCTTTGTCTGAACCCTTTTGCAAGCTAACCTAGCTTCTAAATGGCACCTTTTCAATGTGAATTTTAGAGGAGATTGCATTTGGAATTCAAACATCCAAAGAGAGTGCTTCTTGAAAGATTTAGTGAATACCTTTCATCTTCCCTGCTTGCTTTTATGAATGAACCAAATCTATGAACCAAACTGCTACTATTGAAGAGCCAAAGAGTCTAAAACTGGAATTGAAAAGTAGTTAATTGAGAAAAAAATGGCAAAAAAAGTAGAACAGGATTTTTGTATTTAAAGTACTTACCAATCAAGAGAGTGTTTGGGATTTTTGTTTCCTTTTGTTCTTTTCTAGGAAACATCTTTACCACAAATAACAAACAGTGGCCAGCCTGTGAGTTTTTCATCCTTTATAAATTCTAGCTCTACTTTTTCAAGAAACCAAGGCTTGGAATTCTGAGATGAAAATATAGAGGTCTCAGAATTATATAAAGTCCATATGTCTTAAAAGAAACGACGTGTTCTTAGGGAGTTTTCCCCCATCCCAATGCTGTGTTTCCTCCTGTGCAAATGACTCAATGAGCTTTTGTATCTTGTTTCCATGACTATTGTCCCTAATCCCTGTCAAGTCTTATTTCATCCTGGACCTCAAAATTTGGGTATTGTCATTGCTCTCTGATTCAGACAATCTGTCTGGGGAGGTGGAAACCCCTCAATTATTTTCAAAGATCATCTTCACTTCTTGTTTGAAGAATGCTAATCTAACTTCAATGTGTTTGCTTTCAAGTTTAGTCTAAACAATTAGTGGTCAAGTATTGCTATGTTTTAAGGTGATCAATATGTGTATTGAAGGGTACAATTAAGCATTTACCCTGTGATGAATGTTGTCTAAACATTTCAGGGGAATTTATTTCACCATTACACGGGCTGGATTTTCTTGGAGCTCCTCTACAGAATAATTTCAGTAAACTAAGAAAAAGTCTGAATCCTTTAGCATATATTATGCTACACCCCTATTTGTTTTTCAATTTGTATTACTATGTTTAAGTATACCAAAGAAACTTGTCAGATAATGTCACCCTTCTTTTGATTAAAGAAGGAGTTTCACACAGGCTTCTGAACACATGGTCTGTATTCATGGCTCAGGACAAGGAAAAAAGTAGCCACTAAAACAATTCCTCCCACACCCTCCCCTTCCACAGTAGGAATTATTTGCCCTGGTTCCCTTTCTGCTGAAGGAAGGCTGATGTGCACAACTTTATGTGCTCAACTGGGAAGCAACATCCATGAAAAGTCTGAATTGTCAACGCAAAATGTTTACTTCAAAGCATCTGTGTTCATCGAGAAAACATTGTCGAATGACTTGATTGGCAACATTAACTGATGAGGAGTGCTCTTCTATACTAAATTACAGTATTGAACATTATTAGCTACTAGGCATTGTGCTAAGGCATTTACCTATGTCAATTTTCTCATTTCTTGCAAATTAAATAGTCTACCAGGCAGCCAGTTTGAAGAAGTTTCATTCAGTGTTCTGATCTGAGCAGTTGGTTTTCAGTACTTGGCACATTTCTCTACGCAGACCACAAACACAGGAGTGATGTCAACAATGGAATACTTTATTTCTTGAGGATAAGTACTTCTTGATAACAGTATTTCATTAACTTCCATGACCAGGGCATACTAATTATCATAGAAGTTTCGAACTTTTTAGCTTCCTGTAAATGGTAGAAAATTGTAGTAGGCCATGAGTAGGTTTCCATATGGATTACATATTTTTTTTAGAGAATATGTTGTTTATTTTTTTTTAATTTCAAAACAGGTTAGTAGGGCAGTTACAATAGTTAATATTGTTGCCCTCATAGTAGTTATTCATAGTATAAGATGCAGACATGATATCTCATCTAAACACTATTAGTTCAAAACTTTCTTCTCCTACAATCTGAGGTACAGGATCTCAGGATAAATCCTGAGGGGATTTCACTGACCTGATCAGACCCAAATGCTACAACTCTTGCTCCATAGGTCCTGCTTTACCTGGTCTTAACCATCCAGCAGAAAAGTATAAAAACGAAATATAAGAAGTAAAGCCATGCTGTTATGTTGAGCTGTAGGGGACTCAGGTCAACAATTTCTGACATTACCAGTGAAGTGGAAGACTCAATACTATTATGGACTACTGGACTCTTTTAGACTATTTTGCTGAGTTAACACACCTATAATATTCAAATAACAGAACTTAACAAAAAAAAGGGGATACAGATGAATGTCCATTTTGTATCTGTGTATTCAAAGTGGTTAGGATAGATATATAGTTACATTCTCTTAATGAATAGAATGATTTGTTCTAATGGTGTTTGTAAATAGGATATCATGTCCGCATCTTGTACAGCAATTAACCAGTAGGAAGAATGTATGCAATGTGTTAATTATTGAAACTGTCCTACCAATTTGATTTGAAACTGTCTCATTGCTATTTGTTTCTCAATAAAATTATGGAGAAAACAAACAAACAAAAAACCCACAAAACTTTCTTCTCATTGAACTAAGAGAAAGTAACAGTATATCTATGCTGACTATTTTGTATATACATATATATGTATTTTTTTCACTACAAAGTGGTCCTTTATTTTTAATGGATTATGTTTTTGAAGAACTGACATATTCGAGCTCTGGATCTTGCTACCTCTTTAAATATCTTGGAGAAATACTAACAGGTAATTGTCTGATAAAGACCAAAATGTGTGCAGAGGTCAACAATGAAATCCTGAAAAATATCCAGAGGATGAACGAAGACCACTAAGCTTATGCAGTTAAAGCATACCTGATCTTTTCATGAGGTTCCAAATGATGAAAAATGTAAAGTGGAAATAAATGAAAACACCCCCAAAGGCTACTGGTGTAAGAGGTACTGATATGAGAGACAGGGTGTGGAGAAGCTGGTGGGAGAAATCAGCAGGACCTGTCAACTGCAAGATCCCAGGAAGGCACCTGCTGATTCTCAGGATCCAGCACGCAGGTAGGCCTTGCAGGTCCCAGGAGATGCCTGTGGCATGGAGGAGACCAGATGCTATGAGGAGCCTCCCATTGTTATTCCTCAGGACATTTTTGCTCCCACCCTTTTCTCTCTTTGTTCTGTTCAAGTTCACTCTATGGGACCAACTCTCCCTTCACCCCTTCATCCATTATTTTTAAAATAAACTATTGGCACCATTTTTGGGTTGTCTTGTTCAATTATTTTCTGAGACAAGAAGGACCTAGCATTCTTTTGACTGGTGATCCATTTCTAAAGGAGCTACCTGACAGAATTTTTGTGGGCCAGCCAGGAGGTAACAGTAGGATCCAACAATTCCCTGGAACTGACTTTATTCACGTATTTTATTCTATGCCTTTCTGGCCCCAAATCTGTTGCCATATGCATGTTATTTCTTTTTTGCTTTTCATTGAATTGTTTTTTTTTTTCCTTCAAATCATCTGTTTTTGTGTAAGTTGATTTCTTCCAATCTCAATCCTTCTGATTTTCCTCTTTTCCAGATCTACTGCTCAACCAAATGTAACACAATGACTTCATCCTAAGGTTCTTTCCAACCTGGCCAGCCTTGCCAAGCCCCTCCTTTTACATAATCTTATCAGCTTTGGCACCAATGTCACTCTCTTTGTCTACTTGAATTTTCTCCATTGCCCCTCCCTTCACTGCATTTTAAATATGATATCACTTCAACAGCAGTCAGTTAACTAGAAGCATGTAGTGTGCTACTTTGACATTAATTCCATACTTTAAAAATCCTTTCCACTTTACTGAGTAAAACTAGATAGTTTAGTGTTTTGGATAAATCCTTATATCATAAGCACTGAGTTGTTTGCAAATTTCTTTTATTGGGGTTTTCAGTGTAAAAACTATAGATTAAACCTGAAAATGTCCCTGTAAACCCAAAGAGTAATGCATAAAAGTTCTTAGCAAAACAGAGAATCCTGGAACAAGTAGTCAGAAAAAATCCAAACATTTTTGTGTGTCCATGTGTTTGTGGGAGGAGACTTAATAACTTATTAGCTCTGGGTGAGAGATAGTGGGAGAGCAGGTGAAATGTGGTTAGTGTATGAATTTGTCAGCCAAAGATTTGGTAAGCCAGATGAAGAAATAACACCATTCTAAAATTTTACAAAAGCAAAATCTTTATCTAAGAAATTATGTGAAACACTTTGCTTCTATTCAAACTTTGGAAACAGTACTAAATATGCCTGTTCATGAACTTTAGTGGAAATTATAATTAGAGATGAACTTTGCTTTGCATGTCTATATTAGAGGGCCTGAATATTATATGTCTGTTACAAATATGTCAAACCTCCAACTTAATC